CAGTGCTGGGAACAAGGCAGGAGGGGGCTGGAAATAAGTGAAAGGAAGGTATTTTAAAAAGCTGTGTTCAGAAACAAAATCAAAGAGAATTTTCTTTAGGTCATAGATCTACGAGACATGGGAAAATCAAACACTGGCAATTGCATAAGAGACAGCGTATTTGTGAGGTCACTCCTGTGGTAACTGAGTCTCTGAATTTAAGAAAGAATATAATGTCACTGGGGACACTTCAAAAGAGATGCAATAGGCTGATTCCTGGGACTAAGGGATTAACTTATCGAGAACAACTGGAAAAATTAGGGCTTTACACATCAGTTCTGAGAGTCACTCAACCCGAAACATTAAAGTCTGGTTTCTTTCCGCGCATGCTGCCAGACCTGCCGAGCTTTTCCAGCAACTTCTGTTTTTGTTTCCCATTCACAGCCCAACAGCGGTGCTCCGAAAGCTTGTGATTTCAAATAAATCCTGGTGGGCTATAACCTGGACATGGTGTGACTTCAGACTTTGTACAACCCCCCCAGTTCCAGCACCGGCATCTCCACATCTGCAGCTCTTTCTGTTTATTACTGTTTATTCATCAGGGTTTGGTAGAATGAGGGGGTGATCTTATTGAAACATTCTGAGGGGCCTTGACAGGGAAGATATTGAGAAGATGTTTCCACTAGAGAGGGGAATCGCAGACAGGGGGAGAGGGGAGATAGTTACAGAACATGAAGCCATTTCTTTTCTCTGAGGGTCTGTGAAGGTCTGAAATTCTCGACCGCAGAGAGTTGGGGAGACTTGATCACTGAGGAAGGAGATTGTTGAAATAGTAGGGAGTAAGGAGTAGGGAGTAGGGAGGGCTAAGGAGCTGGTGTGAAAGAGAAATTGGTACCTGGGAAAGATCAGCCAAGGTTTTTTTGACTGATAGGGATTTCAGGAGGGGCTGAATGGCCTACCCCCTATCTCTCACGTTCCTCAGTTCCAAAGAAGTCACACCGGACACAAAACAGTAACTCTATATTGCTCTCTCCACGGGTTCTGCCAGACCCACTGAGATTCTCCACCATTTCCCATGTCTGATCATTGGTGGTATTCCAGGTAAATCCCTTCCCAATGTGTACATTTCTTTAGCGACAGTGGCCTCCAGTGGCAAGGAAGAGCTCTGCAGGTTCTCATTTTGTTTAAATCCCAGACACAGACCAAAACCCAGGCTGAGAAACACCTCAAGAACCCATGGCTCCTCAAAGGAGCAAGGAGTAGTGTATCATCCACAAGAGAGATCTTTGGAACCCAGACCTTAGAATGCAGGCTCATAGTTCCTTGAAAGTGGAGTTGCAGGTAGACAGGATAGTGATGAAGGCGTTTGGTACGCTTGCCTTTATTGGTCAGTGCTTTGAATAAAGGAATTGGTTAGGCCACTTTTGGAATACTGCGTGCAATCCTGATCTCCCTGCCAAAGGAAAGACGTTGTTAAACTTGAAAGTATTGCAGAAAATATCTACAAGGATGTTGCCAGGGTTGGAGGGTTTGAGCTACAGGGAAGAGGCTGAATAGACTGGGGTTATTTTCCCTGGATCATCAGAGGCTGAGGGGGTGACCTTATACTGGTTTATAAAATCATGAGGGGCAAGGATAGGTTGAATAGTCAAGGTCTTTTCCCCAGTGTGGGGAGGGCCAAAATTAGAGGGACATAGGTTCAAGGTGAAAGATTTAAAAGGGGCAACTTTTTTCACACAGAGGGTGGTGCGTGTTTGGAATGAGCTGCCAGAGGAAGTGGTGGAGGCTGGTACAATTACAACATTTAAAAGGCATCTGGGTGGGTACATGAATAGAAAGGGTTTAGAAGGATACGGGCCAAATGCTGGCAAATGGGACTAGATTAGTTTAGGATATCTGGTCGGCATGAACGGGTTGGGCCGAAGGGTCTGTTTCCGTGCTGTACATCTCTACGATTCTAGAACTGTGCTTTTCATTTCTGATTTCAAGCATTGGTTAGTTCCTTAGTAAAAACCGAAAGAACTGCAGATGCTGTAAATCAGCAAAAACAAAGTTGCAGAACTCCTGAGGAAGGGTCACCGCACCTGAAACGTTAACTCTGCTTTTTCCTTCACAGACGCTGCCAGACCTGCTGAGCTTTTCCAGCAATTCCTGTTTTTGTCCATTGGTTAGTTCCTTTTCTGTTTCCCACTTTGTGCCAACGCAAGATTTCACATTTCACAGCAATTAACCTTGCATCAGGTGTTGAAAGGTTCTTTATTTTTTGATGGGGGGGGGTCAGGGTTTGGAAGGGGGTCAGAGTTACGTTGTCCCAGTTAAACTGACGGCCTTTATTGTCTGAGTGTACTGATAGTAAGGAGAGTTCGTCGTGCCGTTTTGCAGCTAGCTGATGTTCGTGTATTCTGATGGTGAGTTTCTTTCCTGTCTGTCCAATATAATGTTTGTAGCAGTCGCTGCATGGTATTTTGTAAACTACGTTGGTTCTGCATGTTGTGGGAATGGGGTCTTTAATCCTTGTGAGTATTTGCATAGAGTGGCTGTGGGCTTGTGGGCCACCATGATTCCTAGTGGGCTTAGGAACCTTGTTGTCAGTTCCAATATGTTCCTGATGTAGGGCAGTGTGGCCACTATGTTAGGGCATACTGTGCCCTCCTGTTGTTGTCTGTTTTGTAGATATTTGTGGATGAAATTGCGGAGATATCTATTGATAGTGAGGATTTTGTTAAGTGCTCTTCCTCTTTCCTGCGCTGTTCCAGAGTGTTGCAGTGTCCCCTGGCCTGTTTAAATAGTGCCCTAATGCAGCTTTGTTTGTGGGTGTTGGGGTAGTTGCTGTGGAAGGTGAGGATTTGATCCGTATGGGGTGCTTTTCTGTAAACTGAGGATTGGAACTCCCCGTTTGTCAATTGCTCTATTATAACAACCAGAAACAGAAGCTGATTGTTGGTTTCTTCCTCCCTTGTGAATTTAATCCCTGTGAATATGCTGTTGATGAGGTGGTGGGTCTCTTCTAATTTGTTGCTTTTAATGATGACAAATGTGTCATCTACGTATCGGATCCACAGTTTAGGTTGAATGTGGGGGAGGGTGGTGTGTTCTAGTCTGTGCATAACTGCTTCTGCGATGAGTCCTGAGATGGGTGACCCCATTGGTGTCCATTTAAATGTTTGTATATCTGACCATTAAAGACAAAGTGTGTGGTGAGGCAGAGGTCTAGTAGTTTGAATATGTTGTCCTTGTTGATAGAGCTGCTGGTCTGCGTTGCTGCTTCCTCTAGTAATGTGGCCACTGTTTCTTTGGCTAGTGGGATGTCGATTGATGTGAATAATGCTGTGACGTCAAAGGATTCCATAATCTCGTCGTCGCTGATTTTTCTGTTCTTGAGGGTATCGAGGAAATCTTGGGTTGAATGGATAGAACGAGATGATCCGTCTACTAGGCGTTTCAATCTCTGTTGTAGGTCCTTGGCCAGTTTGTGTGACGGTGCGCCTGACTGGGAGACAGTGGGTCTGAGGAGAATGTCTGGTTTATGTACTGTAGGAAGTCCATAGAAGTGGAGGGTGTTTGTGCCTTCTGGTTATCTGCCCTGCATTCATTATCTTCAGTGTCTGGGTGATCCTATCACTGAGCTGTGGTGTTGGGTCTATCAGCACCTGTTGGCAAGTGGTTGTATCTGCAAGCAACGCCTGTGCTTCCTTGACCAAGTCTTGTTTGTTTGTAATGATGGTCATGTGCCCTTTGTCTGCTGGTGGGATTATAATGTTCTTGTCTTTCCAGAGTTTGTCTAGTGTTTCTCTCTCTGATCTGTTCAGGGAGTAGAACAACATCACTTCACCCACTGCTGATGTTAACTAGCACAGTGACCAAACGTCTGAACGAGAACAAGCCCAGATCGGTCAGCAAGTCATCAACCTCACCCCCAACCCGAGCTACAAATCTTCGCCAAAACTTTACACCCCAAGTCCCATCTCCACCCTGGTACAGGTGCCACTCCAATGGCCAGTACACCCAGGAGGCCGCTCTCACCCGCCACTGCCCCCTCACCGGCCCTGCTCTCGCCACCCGCTGCCCCCCTCACCATCCCCGCTCTCGCCGCCCACTGCCCCCGCTCTCCCATCGCTGCAGAACACAACCCACACATCCAGCTCCCACCACATGGTTCCTAGTTGTGACCTAACTCCTTCAATAGGAGTTTAAAGGGTAGGGGGATGGCGAGATAGAATTACTGCAGAGAGGAGAGAGAAGATGAAGAGAAAAAGGAAGGAAAAGGAAAGAGAACTGGCAAGCAGAGTGGCGCTCCGAATGGAGTGGCTTTACAGAGGAGGCAATGGCCTAGTGGTACTATCGCTGGATTGTTAATCCAGAGACCCCAGATAATGTCCTGGGAATCTGGGTTCGAATCCCACCACAGCAGATGGTGGAACTTGAATTCAAAAAAATATCTGGAATCAAGAATCTAATGATGACTGAGAATCCATTGCCGATTGTCAGGAAAAACCCATCTGGTTCGCTAATGCCCTTTAGGGAAGGAAACTGCCATCCTTACCTGGTCTGGCCTACATGTGACTCCAGACCCACAGCAATGTGGTTGACTATTAATACCCTCTGGGCAATAAATGCTGCCTGGTCAGCGACGCCCTCATCCCGTGAATGAATAAAAAAAAAACTTACCCTGCCGCCATCTTGTCATTGTAACCCTCGATTTCCTGACTGATCAAGAATCTATCTTCAGTTCTTCACAGTCTCATACTGACATGAACTTGTTCTGCATCTGGTCATGGAACCTGCAGTCTCAAAATCCCAACTCCACATGGGACCTCTCTTACAGAATCAATCTCGTGCTGTGAATGAGATGGTTTATAGCGCAGGAACCCTGCAGAAGCAGATTGTAGATTGTCCCCAGACTAATCTCTTGAGGACTGAAACCTGGGAGCTCATAATCTCCAAAAATTCGATGTCAAAAACTCATTCTGTCCACTCTGGAGAACTCAACATTTTCTTGTTGGAAACAAAGTCAAAATCAGTAAGACTTCTAAAAAGATTTTATTAAAAGTAAAACTGCATATTACAGAAGACAGACTCCAGTCTGAGATTCCCAACACCTGAGTATTAAGCCTAAATATTAGAGTTTAGTTAAAAATCACAGAAACACACACAAACTTCAATTTATGAATTCCACACATTTTTGACTGCTGCTCTCTCTCACAATTTTCTGGTTAAACTTGAAATTATTAAAATGACTAAAAGTCAGAAAAGAATTGAAATCCAGTTTAACAATTGGTTTGTAAGATTCCACACATGATTTTAAATAGAAAGCCTCAAGAATATTATTATTTTTTAAAAAACCAAAAGAGGAGTGCAAATCCATCCAGAGGATAACTGATCGGAACTGTCACACACATTTGGGAAGACAGCATCAATGGTTAGTGTGGGCTGGAGGGTGGTGCTTAGGAATTGGAAGTGAGTGAGAGTGTGACTGGGCAACAGGCAGAGGGGTGTAAGAGGCAGAGGGGCGCAAGAGGCAGAGGGCAGTTAGGGAAGATGCAACACTGGAGCCAATATTCCTCAAAGCAGGAAGAGATTGCTGTCACCTTGTGCGGTTTAAACCTTCTGCTCTGTACGGTACAGGAACCACTTTAGGATTCCGTGTGGTCACTGTAAGGAAGGAACAGTCGCACAGACACAACTACAGGCACAATGTGTCAGAAAGAGTGACGCTGACTCACAATCCCACAGCTTCCTCTCCTTTGGGAAGTTCAGGTCGGACAGAATGTCACATGCGGACAGTGGGAAACCCTAGGTCGTCCAGTGCATTGCTAACGTCACAAAAACGGTCAATGTTTGACCTGACGTCTAACTTGACTCAAGGGGAGAAACATTCAGGATCTACCTCCAATCTTTCTGGGCTTGGGGAGATTACAGTCCTCACGGGACAGAGAGCATGGCGTAGAGAGAGTGAAGGAGGGGTGGGAGGTAGAGTTTTGCTAAAGGTCAGACCAGAGTGCTCCCATCCAGACACTGGAAGCACAGAAACACCACGGACCCAAAGGAATCCGAGAACCCCAGCTCTGAACAGAGCCTTGTACCATTCTCTGGGTGTAGGGCAAGTGAGCTCCAACCTGGCACTGATTTGACCTTCATCAGCAACTCAGCCATACTTCCTGCAATTGATCTCTATCTCGGCCCATGCTCCCCAACTGAAGGAACAAACAAACTGACAGGCGCAGATTCGAACCCCACTTCTCCCAGATTCCGACAAGCCGTGGGTGTGGAGGCGGTTTCAAGTTCCCCGTGAAGTGGGCCAAAGAAACAAAAGGGATCAGAGGTCGAATCCGACCAACTCAGTAACGGAACAAAAACTCATTGCGCGTGAACTCTGGAAATCAGCTGTGACCCTCAAACATGGAACAGAAACATCAGTCTTGGTATTTCTGATAAGGATCTGACTTGATCCCAGTGTCCTATTTAGCCGAGATTTCTTGGGAATTAGTTCTGGTAAATCCTACAATTGGGAACGTGCTTCAATCGACCGAGTCTATAATTAACTTGCTTTAGGACTGACGGACATCAAATTGGCCACATTCTTCACAATGATAGCACACAGAGAGGACCAGATCCCATCAACAGCCTTCAATGTAGACCCAGTCCTCCCAATCACCCAGCTTACTCCGATCAACGTGAAAACCCAAGGACAAATCCAAAGAGAGGATTAGGAAAGCCAGATCCCAAATCTCAAACAATTGGACTGGGTCAGTTGCGATCTCAACATAAGGTGCAGCAAACACTCTCCCAGCCCAAGGGTCACTCTCCCAACACCCCCCACCCCCAGAGTCACTCTCCATCCCCCACCAGCGACACTGCCCCACCCCCAGTGACACCCGAGCCTCTCCCCCAACCCTCAGGGTCACTCTTCATCCCCCACCAGCGACACTACCCTACCCCCAAGTGACACCCCAGTCTCTCCCCCAACCCCCACCAGTGACACTACCCTACCCCCCTGTGACACCCCAGTCTCTCCCCCAACCCTCACCAGTGACACTACCCTACCCCCAGTGACACCCCAGTCTCTTCCCCCACCCCCAGGGTCACTCTCCATCCCCAGGGACAATATGCCAGTTCCAATTTTCATCCTCTGGTCATTACTAGGAATACCAGGTTAAAGTCTACCCTTCATCAATACATACTGAACTAGGAAAGGTTAGGATAGAGACAGAGAAGTGTTTATGAATGAAATACGGAGAACACTCTCTTTCTCTCCCTGCTGTGGCAATGCTGGAGACAAGACTCAAGGGTAAAAGTTGTAAAACTGTGCTTATTTTTTTTTTGCTACACGCTCCACAGATCAAGCGACCGGCATCTTACAGATTCTGAACGGTGCTGATGAGATTCTCTTTGTCCTCTCCATGAGGCGCTCGCTGGTAGGAGACAACAGGGTCGGTCTTGGTGAGTTTGACGATGAAGTAGATGACTCCCCCGAGCAGGACGAGGACACAGATCGACAGCAGGATCACCATCGAAATGGCTGATAAAAATAAACAAAAAAACAGCAAAAGATTCAGATAGTGACCAGTTGGATCGCAAGCCACTCAGCAAAACAGACAGACAGTGTCGGTCTGGCAGAGAGAAAGAGAGAGAGAGAGAAGAACAGAGTGAAAGTACAGAGTCTCCAGTTTGAGAAGAATTATTTTGGACCTGAGACGTTAACTCTGTTTCTCTCCCCACAGATGCTGCCAGATCCACTGAGTTTCTCCAGCCATTTCTGCCTTTGTTTCATGTCTTTGGCATCTGAAAGTGTTTTGCTTTCATTTAAGCAACTCCTTCTATTCAAATATATAACTAAAACTATTCAAATCGTTAAGGGCGATACATTTCCACCATCCCCACTTTTCGCCGATGTCGAGTCTAGTTTTTCCAACTGGTGAGTTAAATTCTGTCAAGTTGTTCAGGGTGCTCCTGTCGCCAATTCCAGACAAGGTCTCGGACCCCCACCGCTCCACCTCCTCACC